CTACAAATAAATACAAAAAACATTTTATCATTATAAACTAATAAAAATAAGAAAAAAAGGCATTTTAACCAGATGTTTCCCAGACATTCTAATCTAAACACCAACACTAACTCTGAAACACATAATTCTTCACTAACACAGGTTTAATTGTTTGGCATTATTTGAGCAATCAAAGCAGATGGTTTTGGATGTTATGTAACAGATGTTTATGAAGACAAGTTTTAATTGGTGCGAGCAATTTTATTTTATCTCTTGTCTGCAAGGAGCTGATAACAACTTAGAGAGGACTTACATACAATAATGCATATTTTATTAGCCGGTGCAACACGGGCCACAAACGAGAAGCTTTCTCATTAACGTCCATTAATATCCACAAAGTGCTCCAAAACTCAGACCACTTTCGAAACACACACAGTGGAAAACGTTGTGAGAAAGGCCTGCATTTAAAATGCTCACGTCCAAATGAAAATATAGTTTCTCCCTCGCTCTGTGATGGACCAGACACATGGATGTAAAGTGCCACAAGAAAAATGTTTTCTATTTCTCCCGAAAGCAGCGCAGGAACAATTTATCACAGCTGGAGACAGACTCAATCAAATGAATAAAATAAGGCAGGCCATACCCCTGCTACCGGGTTATGCATTATACATGTTTGCGAGAGGTTTATAACACTTCAAATGACACCTCACTGGGGATCATGTGAGATTGCCTTACTGTCCAGGTGAAATGCTACAGCTTCTAAAGGTGCTGCTGTGTACTTAACAGAGGCTGACAGCTCACACAGCAGGCCTTCATTCCCGACTTCATCACTTACGACACCTGACGCGGGAGTATCGCCTTGACCAGACCTCCACAATTTCATCCATCCTTTGTCAGAAATTTCATAAGAGTGCAGAGCACTTTTGACACTCATTCTCAGGCCAATCACTGCCTTCCTGATTAGATATAGAGAACTCACTGGTGGGAGATTTGAGCCAAAAGAGGCCTAATTCTGTAGAAGCTGCCAGTCTTTTTTACGATGATTTACATAAATCTCCATGGGGAGAGGGCAGTGATTTAAGCAGTCTTGTCTGGAGGCAGAAGGAGGTGCAGACGTAGAGACTGGTGTAAAGTGTGATTGCCTCTGGGCCCATGTTGTGTGGATGAAACTCTCCAGAGGCAGAGGATGGCGCTCTGCATTAATCTGCGAGTATCATCCTGCTGAATATAAGACATCCACTTCACATGAATTGACTTCGAATTCTCATTTTCACCCGGAAATGTTACACACGTTCATGCTTAGTAAAATGTACATTTTTTAAAACATTTTTTCACCATGACTACTCAATATCCAATAGCATAAGCACAATGGGCTGTGTTTAAACAGGCTGCCTTCCCAAACAATAAACACAGCTTGGTTTTTACATTTTGATGTGGTGGGAATTAAAAGGCTTTGATATTTCAATTTCCATAAATTGTGCAGGGAATATACAGCACAAAGCTGTTTGAAGGCAGAGGAATGGGATCACGGACACGGGTGTTTGGGATTAAAAATAAATAACACTCACAAGGGACATTAAAACGAGCATTTTCAGATCCATCACAGAGAATCTGATATAATAAATTAAGAAAACTCTTAAGGGGGTGCTCTATTTTGAATAGACTACACCTTCATTGTGAAGGTGAATGCTTATAGAATATAAATGTACTGCAGGAGAAAGGGTTACTCAAGTATGAAGTATTATTATATTACAAATGTGTTGCATTATCAAATGTTCACAAAAAAACATAGTGGGGAAAATAAGTATTTGATGCCCTGCTGAATTTGCAAGTGTGATTGCTTATTAAGAAATTAACAGTCACTAATTTTATGGTTGTTTCATTTTAATAGAGAGAGACAGAAACAGATTATATATTTGATTGCCTACAATCCCTGATTTCTGCACACACAGATGAGAGATTACAATCAGTCAGTTGCTCCTGATCTCATCTTGTTTCATGTATAAAGCACACCTGACCACAGAATCAGTTTGTTTCATTCCAGTTCTTCCACCAGCATAGAGAAGACCAAAGAACTGTCAAGGCTAGAATGATTATTCAAAAAAGGAAGAAATATAAAAGAAACATCAGTTGCCCTCAGTCTAACACCATGTACCTCCATCCCTCAGCCAGAAGCTTCAAGTTGGGTCATAGATGGGTCTTCCAGTATGACAAATGACCCAAAACATACCGCTAAGGCAACAAAGGAGTGGCTAATGAAGAAGCACATCAAGGTCATGGAGTAGCATAGCCACTCTCCAAACCTCAATTCTACAGAAAATCAGTGGAGTTGTCTGAAGCTATGAGTTGGCAAGTGACAGCCAAGAAACCTAAAGGCTCTAAAGTGTTTCTGTAAAGAGGAGTGGGCCAAAACCTCCTGAGATCTGTTCAAATCTGATGACCAACTGCAAGAAATGAAATGAAAATTAAACTGCCATAAAAATTAGAGACACGTACACTTCTTAAGTGAGCAAATTCAGCTGGCATTTAGCTAATTATTTCCCCTAATGTATATCTATGTAAAATGTGAGATGCCTTTATCATAAGCAGCAGAAACATTTTCCTCTAAAATAAAATATATGTAAGAATATGTGAAAGATACTTTATTAATATTAGGAAGATTAAAGCCAAATATTGAAGAATTACACCTGCACCTCTGTCATTAATTTAAAAACATCTTTTAATCTGCTTATGCTCTCTTAATCTTCTTAGTTTGCCTTGATAGCTGAAATGACTTTTTTTACCTTCGGTTTTGTTTGTTAGTTTTACTGAAATCCTGAATTCTGTTATTTACTGGGAACTAGAGCAGGGAGATATGACCAAAAATATTTATCATGATATACATTTGAAAATTTGCGATAACGATGATATAATTGACATTAGACAAAACACTTTACAACTCCACAACTTTATTAGTGCAAAAAACAAAAATCATCAATGTATTTTCACTTAAACAAGCAGCTGTTTTTTATGTGCATTAAAGTTATATAAAAATTTAACAGTGCAAATGCAAATTCCTTGCTGACCAAAAGGCATTTCCGGTGGAAATTGGCCGACATATCCTCAGCATAACCATGTATAATATCCACAAAACTTAAAGAGAGGTTATACACACACAATACGGTAATATTATGTTGAAGCACAGTATGTATCACTCCGCGAGGCTCCTGCCTACGATAGCCGTAATGCTCCGACAATCCATCAAGCGATGCGGGTTCGTAGCTTAGCAAAGTCTGACGGGTGAAAGCTAAACCAGTTCCACACCACTGAAGTTGCAGCATTTTTACAAACCAGTTCTGGTTCATCCGTTTCATTCAACGATCTGCTTTCGCCCTTCTCATTCTCCGTCGCCGCCATACTTTTTCCGCCATGTGAGTATGAAAACAAAGGCACTGCGCATACGCGTTTAACCCATATTCTATCGCGATATTTCATTTTCTTATCTCTGCCCAATATTATACCGGTATTACCATGAACTGTATGATATGGCCCAGCCCTACTGGGAACTTCTTGGCTCTTTATCACATTTGAAGTTAACCCTTTGGCTTTTATTATGGTTTAAAAGTGTGTGTGTTTATGTGTGGGGCGTGGCCAATTTGATTGGCAAGGGGGCAGACACAAGCTGCTGGAGCCAATCACGTCAATCCAAGGCTTCACCTCTGCTAACTGAGGCCACTGAACTCCACTGTGTTGTAGTACTGGTGGTTTTTGAGGGCATTTAATGAAACTGACTGACGCAATATTAAATCCCGCTGTGTGGTACAACAGTCTGCACTGATCAGTATTTTATCAGTTTGTTACTTAGCTTAATTAGTAAAATAATTCCCAACTCAAAGAGCTGGAAAGAAGTTCACACCCCAAAATCAGTGCTGCAGCACGCTGGATTGTTTTCACACATTTTGATGTGACGGTTGCTATAACATGAGGCTGAGCTAGCTAGACATAAAGATATAAATATATTGGGTACTGTAGTTAGATAAAAGATAAATTAAAAAATAATAATAATTAAAAAGGGCAGCACGGTCGCACGGTGGTTAGCACTGTTGCCGCACAGCAAGAAGGTCCTGAGTTCAGGACCTTCCACCATCAGGCCGGGGTCTTTCTGTGTGGAGTTTGCATGTTCTCCCCGTGTTTGCGTGGGTTCTCTCCGGGTACTCCGGCTTCCTCCCAAAGTCCAAAGACATGCAGCTTGTGGGGATAGGTTAATTGGACAATCCAAATTGTCACTAGGTGTGAATGTGCGAATGAATGTGAGTGTGAATGGTTGTTTGTCCCTGTGTGTTGGCCCTGCGACAGACTGGCGACCTGTCCAGGGTGTACCCTGCCTCTCGCCCTATGACAGCTGGGATAGGCTCCAGCGCCCCCCGCGACCCTGAAAAGGATAAGCGGAAGCGAATGGATGGATAATAATTAAAAAGACATAAAAAAGAAGTTTGAGTTCTTTAAGAAATGACGTCTTTGCCATCACAGTTGTTGTTGCAAGAGGGATCATTTTGTTCCAGAGAGTTTGAATCCTGGCGGGTCTATTGTTAATCTTTAGTGATTAAAAAATAAAATGATAAAAGATATATTTTACTTGAATCAAAATCTTTTGTTGTTTATTTTGCCTAAAGACAATCGAGTTCATTTCCCTTACTTTGACTTGATACATTTAGCTTAGTTTGCTGCACCTCGCCTGCAGATGCACCTGACCCTCAAAGTTTGAAATCCACTGAATTAGCATTTTTTTTAAATTTCATATGGAAATCATCAGCATCTATTATCAGCATATGTTGATAATTTAACATTCATCACATTTACATACAGTTTCGAAAACAATTGATAACCGTCTTCTGATTTTTTTTATGCGAATAATATGAAAAAACACATGAGAATAGAAGTGCAAATGTTATCTAGCATCTACAAATAAATGAACACTTAGTGAGATGTAACAGCTTAATCTATGTGTGTCTTCCCTGTAGTTCCAGGTGTTTGTTCCTCACCTCCTGTTTGGGAATGCTGACGTATCCCAGGTGGGGCTTGTAAGGCTTGTATGGCTGCTTGGAGAACAACGTCTCGCCAAATACAGGCTGAAAGAGGAAGGAGGGCTTCTCAGAATAGTTCACCACCACCACAAAGAGCGACACTGCCACAATCAGACTGGTCGCGATCAGGGACTTCCTCTGTGGAGGGAGAGAAAGCACATTCATGAGAAGCCTGACCAGTGCACAGAATAAAACCTGAATATATGTTAGAGCAAATCTAAATGTGGCCTTTCAGTATTTTCTGTGGTTTAACAGCTTGGGCTGAATGATAAGCAGAGAAGAAGATTTGCAGTTTCACCGTAAAACTGTAACTGTGAAAGTCAACTATTTGTTTTGAAAATAAAATAGCATGATAAAAACATATTTACACTAAAAAGATAATTGTGTGTTAGATTCCAGATGCCAACAGTGCACACAGTTGTGCATGAAACTTAGTGGGGAAAACAACACTTTAACATTTAATAACACTGAGCTCAAAGGAAAAGATCAGTGAAAACAAGTTCAGCCAACAGTGGCACGATTCTTTCAGCAAACTCAACACATGTTGACGCTGCAAACCCCTAAACTAGATTTGATTTTATTCTTCACAGATTTCAAAACAGAAAGTTAAAGCTTTAAGTTGATTATTTCACTTAACAAGACATCACAAGACATACAAACACAAATATATTGAGTACATTAGAATACAACATGATATACACAAATTTCTCTAACTGTAATTTTGTGTGGTGATTTATTTTCACTCCTGATAATCTCACAAGGTCAGGCTCTGCTGTTTGTTTGTTAGTCACTGAGCGTGTGCATTTTGCACAGCTAAATAGGAAAAATTGAAGGTGACAGTCATTTACCAGGATGATTGCTCGTGCACATCACCTGGAATTCGTGGAATTTGAGCTTCATTTTTGTTAAATATGATGCCGCATTTTAATGTCCTAATACCACCGCATACAGTTAGGTTCACGGATTTTTAGCACTATGACCCAGCTTTTGTTATTTTGCCTTTATATATGACAAAATGTAGCTTAAATGATAAAAAATTTAAAGTATTGCATCAACTGTTTTAGGAAATTCTCCATTTTTCATAGGCTGACATGATTTTAAATATGAGTGTTCACATCACCAAATACTGTTTCCTTCTTTGATATGCTCTGTTACACCCTTACTGCAGCCGCCTTCAGTTGGCGCTTGTTTGTGCAACTCTCTGCCTTCAGTTTTTGTGTATTTGATAACTAAAAAAACATGCTCTGCTAGGTTGAAATCATGTGACTGACTTAACCATTAAAAAAAATGTCCCATTTCTTTACCTTCAGAAACTCTGGGGTTGCTTTTGCAGTATGTTTTGGGTCATTATCCATTCGCACTGTACAGGACTGTCCGATCGGTTTTGCAGCATTTGGCTGACTCTGAGCAGAGAGTGGGTCCTGTACACTTCAGAATTCATCCTGCGGCTTCTATCAGCAGTCACATCAGTAATAAACACCAGTGGCCCAGTTCCACTGGCACCCATGCATGCTCTTGCAATAACATTGCTTTCACCATGTTTGACAGATTTGTTGTGTTTCTTGGACCATGAGCTCTTCTTCACTCACCTCCTTTCACTCTAGTTGTTTATACATATACACCATTTTGCATGTCATATTCTAACTCTAACCTGTGTGTTATTTGTCCCGTCTCTCTCCCCTCATTCCCCACCGGTCACAACATAGCTGCACCTCCCTGAGCTTGGTTCTCCCGAAGGTCTCATCCTGTTAAAAGGGAATTTTTTGTCCCACTTTTGCCAATAGCTTGCTTGCAGGGGGTCATCTGATGGGACTTCTGTCTATTTTTGTAGGGTCTTTAACTTACAATATAAAGTGCCTTAATGCAATGTTAATTAAATTGCATCAAAGTTCTCTTCTTGGTTATATCTACCCAAAGAGGTATTTTTTAAATAATTGGATGCTCTTTTAGATGTTTTGTGGCAAACTTGGCCTTCTTGTTCTTATTCACACCTTTGTAGTCCCTCTATGTTCATGTAGATTTTAACAATGGTACATCTAATTCATTGAGAGTGTTCTTGACTTGGTTAGATGTTGTGAGGACGCACTAATTTTGTTAAACCTCTTGAATTAAAAGTGAAAGCCTGCAGATTAATGACATCTTGGTTGTCTGCTTAAAATGCAATTCTGTGTATACAGATAGTATAGTGTATACAAGAGGTAAATTGTGTTACTGTTCAGAACTTTATGGGCCTAATTGTATTACATTAGGTTGGAAAAGGAAGACAACCTTGTGCATGAGGCTTATTCAGTCACAAGAACCTCTGTAACGGATTTTTTGACTATTTTGGGGAAATCTGAATGGGTCAGTCAGTGTTTTGAGTTCAAGGCAAGAGTAGCTGCTTGTTGAATGTCCAATGACTCACTGAGTTGTCCTATTTGTGTAGAGTACAAAAAAACTCTATACAAGACCGTACCTCCTGTGTGCCCATGTCTTTTCTCCACTATATCAATTTTTTGTCATAATAAATTTATCTAGTTTTATACTCTTCATCTCTCCTGAAAGATTACTTCTGCAAGAAGAAAACCAGGCCCCACTGTATTTTCCACAACAACTCGCTAATAAATAATAGAGAATTGTATTTGCCTGGCTTGTAGTCATAATCATGAAACAGAGTAAACACGACCATCGGTTTTGATCAAAACTCAAAAAATGATTTGTTTTCATGATACTGTAAAAAGAGTTCACCACTGCTAGATACTGATGCATCTGCTAATACAGCTTAACTGTCTGAGTAAAACCTCCTACAGAACAAATGAGGATATAAGTGCATCTTTCTAGGGCCCACGGAGATATGAGCGCTTGTTCTGTGAGAGGATGTTTTCAAGTCAGAAACTTTATAAGGGAAGAAAATGAAAGTTAAATTCAATCATTATGTTTTCAATTACAGACTTGTGAGTCACAATATCCTCTTCCTTTCACTTCAAATACATCGAATATGAAAAGATTCCTGTGAAGTCCTCCTCCTTCCTATGTAGTCAATTTGCAGAGATTAACCCTTAATCTCTGCTCACTGACACACGCAATTTCCCTCTTTCTAGTGTGACTGAGCCAACACACCTTGAAAAAGCTGAGCTGGCACAGGCAAAGTCGTAATCAATTCTGTAGGAGCGTCACAGCTCAGCTTGAGGTTACTCGACAGACGTTCGTGGCTCTCAGATGATGATTGTGTTCTACTTTTCATCTGGTTGCACTAATGCACTGACTGTGCATAAATGATATGAGCTTCTTTTCTGTTTCAATATTTTTACTAATGAAGCAACAGCTGGGGCTGCATTAATACAAACGGTGCACAACAGCCCCACGATCATATGGAGGTAAGAGGTATTACGGCCTGGCTGAAAGAGCTGAGTGATGAATAATGGATAAAAGATGGAGGACAAGGAAAGGTCTCACAGACAAGAAGATATTGGCAGGGCAGAGCTGGAGATCAATAGATACAAGAGAGAAAGAATCGGACTGTGGTGAAAGAAATCTGAGGCATGCTACAACAGCTCTCAGCCAGAGGGTGATGATAGACTGCAGCAGAGCCAGAGATGCTTTATTTTTTTTCTCTTTTATTCCAGGAAACTTTAATAATGTGCTGCTAATATAACACACGGCAGCAGGAAAGTCTGGGTTTTTAAGAAGGTGCTGTTTTGCAAATTCTTTGAATTTATCTGATGTTGGGGAGATTGAATGTGGCGCGTGGTAATGGTGAAGCCCCCACCGCCAGCCTGCCTGCACCACCACAAGCTCTGATCTCCAACATCAAACATCCCAAGGGAGACACCGGAGGCTGTGCTCTTCAGAGATGAGATCAAACATTTGGTGTGCGGTGGGAGTGGGGTTGAAAAAGACGGCGACCATTTGCTGCCCTGACAAGCCTATCACACTTTACCAGTTGCATGTTTGTTGCATCATACATCATTTCATGGCATTACAACCATCTTTGATCATAAACAGACTCTCAACTTTGATCTGGCATGAAAACAGCACAAAGGGGACCAATGAGAAATCCCTTTTCCACTCGATCAGTACTTTACAAAATAATATATAACACTTTCCTGAAAGAACAGTCAGTTATATGCCATCCCCCCCAAAAAAGAACAAAAAAGTGGCAGGTCGAGGTTTCTGAAAATGTGCTGTAATAGCCAGTCATCAAGAGTCCATAATGGAGCATGAAACCAATCCTTTATAAAGCAGGAGGGTTCATCATGAGGGAAAAAAAACAACCCTCGGCTCAGTCTGCAGAGCTGCAGCATCCATCTGTTCTCATGAGGACAGAAAATTTCCTTGTCTCCTTCAACCTCAATCTGGCCACAAATCACAGGGGAAATGATGTGTCAAAGACTGGAGGCGATTGGAGGGCTCCATGTGGGCGTTGTGGGGCACTGAACCTCCACTAGCTCGAGTGAAAGACTCACAACTTCTCTCCTCGTTTGCTCATCCATCAGGGTGATCACGAGTCAGCCTGTTGAGGCGTGTGACACAGAAATTGAAAGGCTCAGTATCAAAGGAGGAGTACAGTCGGGGAGTGGGACCATTAACACCATCATAGAGGCAGCAGAACAGCTATAAAGTTTCAACATTAGAGCTTTCGGTCAATGTTAAAACATTTCGCTTGAGCAATATGACTCCATATGCAGCTGCAACGACCTTGTTTGCCATCACGAGATCAGACAATGATGGCCATTAACGGCACAGGCACTTAACGGCTGTAGCCTGGGAACGTTTCATATAATGCGCGCCGTCTGAAGGCTCCGAGTTGTCTATTTTTAAAAGTGCTAAAACCTACTCTTAGGAGATATTGATCTCAGTTCACCGGCAGACTGTGTGGGATCACTGGGCTCTGGTACATAATTTCCCCCCAGTCCCTCCTGCAGGGAGCCTGTATGAGCAGATTGCACACAGGAAGCTAGCAGAAGGTTATTGATGGCCAGCTTGTCCATTTGTGGCAATGACCAAACTGACTTGTCAGTTGTGCAGAAATTGAGCAATAGCAAGCTATGTGTTGTTATAAAGTACATTCAATCAAATGTCTGTATTTCTGTTTTATGCTATTTATTTTTACATTTTTACAGCTTTAGCTTTAGAGATCATACAAACACATTTTTATT